TAACTCCTTTCTCCCCCTCTTTCTCTGATAGGTTATGTTCTGTGAATCACCCTTCTTCTCTGGGACTTTGGTAGGCTTGCTAAGGTTAACCACACCATAGCACCTGCGGAGCAAAGGAGCAGAGAATACTGGAGGGTTGGTATTGCATAGCAAGTGCCTTCTGATACTTTTAAGACCTTTATGGTCCAAGAGCTATATAAAACAGTGAACTTTTTCTGCGTCCACAAGAACAAAAGGGCCCAGAATACAGATGAAAAAGACTCAGAAAACTTGCAGAAAGTTTATCAGTCTCTCAGTGGGGTGAGATGACCATCAAGTAAAATTGGGGAAGATCAGAAGGGGATGCTGCCCCATCTCAGTGGCTTATTAACAGAGTGGGGAAACAGAGTGGGGAAACACGATCTCCAAGCATGCTAACTTCCAAAAATGAGACCATTTAAAATCTAAAGTGGACAGCCCTTCTACCTGGATGTCGTAATGTCATTATTAAGTCTCCCTCAACAATGAGGGCAGAGGAAGAGGACAAAGGGAAAGCGATCTTAAATAGTACTGAGTTTTTATTTTGGTACATCTCAGTTTGTTTCTTGTTAAACATGCTAAAAGAAAATGACTTCCCTCTCCCCAATTGCTTTTCTAAGCATCTAGCTTTAGATTCATTACTGGATAATTTTAGAGATGTGCTCATTTCTATAGAGAAATAAACATGAAAGTAGATAGCAAACCTGTGAGAAGCTAATGTACTTTGTCTAGGTAAGCAATTTAAAAACTAATATATAGGAATAGAATTAAGAGGAAAGATGAAAAAACACAGTAGGCAGCTAAAAATAAATGTTTTTCTGTATCATTTTAAGAAGATGTGATGATTAAGTACTTGTATTCTTCATTTTGTCTTATCAGCAAATACACAGCTACAATAAAAAAACTCCATTTACCCTATCAATGTGATTTGAGAGAACAGAATTCTATGTCTACCCTAAACAGTATGATTTAAAGGGAATACACACCTAAGCTCAGCCTTAATAGTCCCTTGCTATTCACATGGTGAAATTCAGTATGGATTATAAGTTCATGTAGTGTTCCTGGTTAAAATACAGCAGATCTACTCAGATTACGTAATCATACTATAATTTCTCTGAGACATAGGTTTTCATTTCTTCAAGATTGGAGTTTAAAATGCCAGCTAGTTTTAGATCACTTGAACTTTGTCGGTTCTCAGTTCCTAAAACGACCTGGGCCTTTAAATACTGTGATATTTTGGGTTTCAAAACCATTTATGTTGGGAAAAAATACTTCCTTTTCAGAGAAAAATACCCCAAAGTGTAATTTTCTCATTAACATCAATTTGACTCATTGATTCATCCTCCTATGCCAGTAGTTTGGGAAGAAAATTAAACTAAACAACTAAAACAGAAATGGCTTTTTCTCCTTAGGAATTAGCAATGTAAAGAGAATGCTTATACTGTGTATAGTGCTTATATATCTAGAAAGCTAATATAAATGTTTAATAGCACAACAAATCAAATTATTGCATAATGGGAAATTTTATATACATACTTACATAGATATCAGTCTGCATGTAAATAAATATGTCTTGGCCTTTTGGCATAAAATGTGGAAATTAAAAGAAAGGTGGAAGTTACTATATTTTTCTAACATTACTTGGTCTGCTCACACTGGTAGGTTCATGTATTCTTGAACATCATGATAATTAGAGCTGCAAAGTGAAATGGATTATCAAATAAGCCTTATTGGTAATTTATTGGCTGCCTAGCATTCGTTTTTCCTAATTTGGTAACAGTACCCACCTTTTTCCCACCCTCTGTCTTTGAGCTTTATGTGGCCTAAACTATTGAGTCGAAGGAGAGGCATGTGATTCAGTTCAGCCCAATCATCATCTTTCATTTCTCTGATTAAATTGATTGGCTTAGGAATGAGCATATGACTTGGTTTAGACCAGTGAGAGTAGCCTAGGAACTCTGATTAAACTGTTGAAAGGAGCTTGTATTTTTTACTTTATTATTTTTATTTTTTTATTCTTTTACTGTTTTTTTTTTTTTTCCACCATACTTCAACTTGAAACTGCTATCAGATATCTTGCCAGTTTGAATAAAGTCTACATGGAAGAGAGTAGAGCTGAGAGATGGGAAGATACTGAGTCTTAATGACATTCTTCGAGATGCTGGGTGTAATTGGGCCTGCAGATAGAGTTTCATATAGGTAAGTCAGTAAATTCCCTTGTTTCATATAGGTAAGTCAGTAAATTCCCTTGTTTGCTTAGACAAGCTTGAGTTAGGTTTTCTGTAACTTGCAACAAAGGAGTACTATATTGGACATTTTCCATTTGCTCTCCAGATTCACTCTCTATGTCCCAGGGAACTGACCTATCTGGACTGTATCATAAGAGTTCTTTTGCCCTCTGGCTTCTGGTTGTGTTCAGCCAATGGAAATCTTCCTAAAGAATGAAGTCAGGGCATTTATTTCATGGGAGTTCTCCCTGTTAGATAATAATAGGTTGGATGATCCCAGCTTTATCCAGAGGTTATAGATCCTGTCAAGTTCCCTTCTGTCTCCAGGTTTGAGTAGCCATTCTCTTAATGGCTTTAAACCATCTGATGGTTTACCTCCCCACAATTGCCAGCCCTGGGGTAAAGCATTATTCTTAACTAATTTCCTGTAACCCTTTCTATACTTTTGTAGTTTCTCTATTAAATTCTCAATTATCTAGTTTGAGTGAGCCATCTCTTCTTGCCAAGACCTGAGTGATACATACTCCATTCATTTTGATTTTCATAATAAATGGAAAATGCAGTCGTTTTAAAAGATGTAATTAGATTTTCTGTTTGAATTACTAATTGCTTAATACTGAATGCTCAATTGAGTATCAAGACAAGACTTCAGATGTTTTGCAATGCATGGAATTTTAGTAAGTCTTTGGTGGAGGTAACTGAGGATTGTTATCATCTATATGTCTTAGGACTTCTATTAAGATTCCTTTCCAGTTTATCACTCATAGAAACTACCTTTTAATTGAACCATGGTAGAATACTATGTAAGTATCACAATGTTCTCACAAATTTACGTTTTAACTTCTCCAGGTCCTACAAAGAGGGCTACTTGAATTTCTGTGAGTAAATGAATAAAAAGATAAACTAGAAATGTGTTCAAATTAAATGACAGCAATCTACATTCAAGTAAAACATTCATTTACTTAGTGAATTTACATCCCATGATTACTTGCTCAAAATTTTCTCTGTACCATCTATGTAAAAAGAGTTTCCTAAGGAAATTGACAATATTCACAAA